CCTCTCTCACTTCCTTCATTGTATTGTATTGTACAAGATGTTGTACCTGCAGGACTTTAAACAACCAACTCCGAAAATTATGATTGATTCACATTGATCGAGTAAACTAGGGTGTATTACGGCACAATCGACGCACTACAGAAGGGCACCTTTTTGGTTTTTCCGTGAATTCTGATGAACACATAACACATCCTATATCATCTGAAAGTCGATTTATTTGCCTTGTTTCCTGTGATATAAATATCTATCTTGAATAAAACTCAAGATATTTTACTTCAAGGAAGTAAGGTTGTCTGGTTTCAGTGGTGAATTAAGGGAGAAAAGGCCCGCCAAAGTCTGGTAAATCCGATTCCTGTATTTTGACGAGCGCCTAATTTCACCACGATGCCTCACATATTTTAATAGTTAAGTAATAGCCTTGTTTTTGTTTGTTTGTTTTTTTAGGGGGGGGGGGGGGGTTCACTCTCCTGTAAACGTAAAATTCACAGAAAATGAGTTAACTGTTCAGAATCCTGCAGCAACGATGAAATGTGTGGAAATGTAGTTTACAGGGACAGTCGGCCCCACACAATGGCCACATGCAGGCAGGCAGGGGTGCAGATTAGGATAACAGCATGATATAATTTAATAAAGAAAAGCAGATGGAGCAGACCACACACAGCCGCCCCACTGTCCCTCCACACACAGCCGCCCCACTGTCCCTCCACACACATACACTACTTAGTAGAACACAGGAGCATTCTCCAACAATCGGCAGGCTGAGACATCAGATCACAGAAAAACAAAACTGACAACTATACAGTTTGCCATCTTACCCCCGGGCCGTACTGAATAAAACTAATATAAAAATATAACTACTGTACTGTATGTATGGCTCTTGTCGTCTATGCAGACGGTCAATTTAGCTTAAGATGGTCTCAAGGTTGTCTTCATGCAGCTTCTTTCAATGGCTACTTCTTCCTACGTTTGAAGTACGTTTGTACTGTACTGATAAAGAAAACCCCCACTTGACTTTAGCCTCAAACGTACATTTTTATATCTACAGAATCAAAGTTATATACTTCTACGATTTTAATGTAGGTATTTTTACAACTCCACTGACACAATTCAGATCATTTTGGAGGTTAGCTTTCGAACCAGCCTGGTCAGGGCCAACCCATGCCGAGAAGGATAAAATGTCCGTGCAGAAAGACTGAGATGCTTGATAAAAATTTTCTCTCCACTCAGGAGTCGAACTCGAGTCTCCTGCATGCGACAATGAGGCACCTTACTATTACAACTCACATGACATTAGGGTGCTCCGTTGATTCAGTTGGTATCATGCTAGCCTACAGAGCGGACCACCCTGGTTCAAATCCCAGACTGGGCATTCTTGAACTCCTGTCGTTTCAGGGTGTTTTCAAGGCTCTCAACCTAGTCGGCTCTGTGCTATTGGAGACGAATTTAAATTCAGACGTCCCGGCTCAGCTTAAATAATCTAACAGTGTTGACAGGAGCATTTTAAGAAATTCATATACTTTACTTACACGCTGTTACACTGATTAAAAAAATTTGCCATTTCTAGTTAGTAGGAGAAAAAAACCGACTTTTCTTTGGGTCATTTACCCTTGATGAAGCCAAAAGCTCATTGCCATCAGTTCCCTCTAGCAAGAAAACTGAAAAGTAATAAATAAAACTGTGACATTCTAGAAACCACTTTAGCTTCATTCTGTACAAAAGTCCAGTGAACCAAAGTTAGTGCACAAGACATTTTCCATTCAGGACAAGGCCCCGCATTAAATTTTAAGTGTAGGTGTTTTTTACATCGCTGTTGACACAATTTAGATTTTTTAGGAGGCGGGCTTCCACCCTGCCTGTCAGGACTGACCTGGGCTGAGAGGGACACAACATCCCAGCAGGAAGACTGAGATACTCCATAAAAATTTCTCCCACACATGAATCGAACTTGGATCTCTCCAATGTGAGACTGCCGAGTGAATAATCCCAACACTGTACATGCTGGGTGAGGCATTACACATTTCAGATCAACACTAATAACAGAGAACAGAGAAGATTGTCCTGGACGAGAAATCAAAATGAATTTTAAGACCAGTCTCAGAGAAACGAATTTTCTGCACGATCCCTGAGAAATGAAACACAGGTTTTCTTCTCTGCGGCACAGACTTCTGACCAGAGGAGGGAGGAAAAAGTTATCTAGCCATAAGATAACCCATGTAGATTCAGCCTGGCAAGGGACACATTTCATCAGAAACACACGAGGAGGACAACAGCACAAGACAAGAAATAGAGGGAGCAGGCCTGAGGGGGAGAGGGATGGATTTTCATTACAGTGAGAGCTTTACGGCACTTGTGACTATAAATAGGTTACGTAAAAGGCAAAGATCAGAGGTGTTCCTAGAGAGAGATTGACATACAAACAAAGAAAAGGAGAAGAGATATGGACGGACTAAAGATGTCTGAAAGGAGAGAGATTGATAAACAGATGGACAGAAAGATTGAAAGAGAGAGGCGAGGAGAGGAATAGAAGGACAATGAAGGGTGGGTGGCCAGAGATAATCAGACCTGCCAACAATACCAGGACCAAAGAAAGAAGTTTTTTGCAATAATCTCCCCCCCCCCCCCCCCCTTCAAAAGAACAAAACAAAACACAGAGCCTCCAAAACTCCAGTAGCTAAAGATAACGCTACGACCCGCTCGTTGTAAATAAATGAGAATTACAAATAAATACACACCTATTAAAAATCTTTATCTTTACTCCATTTATCATAAGTTACGAAAATAGGGCAAATATAAATGCAAATAACAGCGAGCATTTTCTTGTCATTTACGAAAAGTCTCATACAGCTTGATGGAAACAATATATTTAAAAAATTGGATTTTATGCAAATCCGAACAGGGTTCTTTGGCGGATAAAAAAAACAACCCAACCCAACTTGGCAGACCTGGGTAAGTGGAAAAAAAATGCCACAAAGAGTTATACAAATCGGGAACGAAGGAAAAGGTTTGTGAAAGCCCTGGTGTCGAAGAACATCACTTGCACACAAAATAAGTCAAGTAAATTCTTACAGCGCAGGCATGGGCAAATTACAGGCCACAAGGGCCAGATCCGACACAAGAGCAGTTTCTGTTTGGTCTGCGAGTCAACATACTAATTAACCCCCTTAATGTCGACAACATTCGTTCAGTGGTGTCGTGGCCGATTTTAATTGGCTGCAATTTGGGAAGGAATTTTGGTTCGGTCATCCTGATTTTTAGATCATGAAACATTGTTGCAACTCCTTCACAAATGAGATCTACTTCCTATCTTCAGTCTACCCTCCGAACAGAAATTACAGTGAATAAGTTTATGGACTTTACCTGCTTGGTTTGCTTCTACTCAAGTCTTTTCCAACAAAATAAAATGGTGAAATCTTATATCCCCCCCACCCCCACCCCCCACCTACTATTTTTTAGCGACACCTGAAAGGTTAGCGATGAATGTGACCCCGGGTGAGTTAATTATCAATAAAAAGAAAGTTGTTCATCTTGAAAATCAAAATCAATAGTCAACAGTTCCCGGCCCAGCAGGAAGCAATAGGTATATAATATCTTCATGAAATACCCCGTCGGGTAATGTATGCAATAGTCTCAGTTCTTATCTCACTTTTAAGAGTAAGAGTCGGGGTATATCAACCCATCTCATCCAGTTTTCTCCAGCATTGGCTTGTGAGATATGTGGAATTGCTTAATTAATGCGACTCGTTTGCCCATGCCTGTTATCAATGAGGGAGACCAAATTGACAAGCTGCTACAGATTTGGTACAGTCTCGTTCTGCCAGCTGTCTCACACAGAAAGAGTCACAAACTCCCACAAAGTAAAATGACATTTCCTTCATAACAAGTAAAGATAAGAGAAGTATTGGAGCCCAGCAGCTGAGAAGTTGGGACTCATTCAAAATCTTGAGATTACGAGTTCAATCCAAAACGCGGCTGGACAGAAAATAGCAACCATGACAAAAGGATGACTATATATATATCCCAACACAAGAACCGAGATTTAACACATTACACCCTAACTCGCCCGGGAATTCCCTTACGCGCTCCACCCTGACTCGCCCGGAACCGCCCGCGCCGACCCAGCGTCTTTAGAAACGAAAGTCTCGCCTTGACGAGACTCTGGGGCCGGGATTTTGATTTGCATAGTATAGCAAAAAGTTTCTTCTTTCGTTTGATACCGAAACGAAATTTTTTGGGCTAGTAGTTTTAGTATTAGAGCTGATCGAAGTGCGATCGCGTTACCGACACTTCGAAAGTGCCTCGACTTGTTGAAAAGCGACACAATTGAGTTCGAAAACGGAAATAGCGATGGATTTGAGCAAAAACGAGCATGTGACAAATCAGATGGCTCAGATTTTGATGAAAACGTTGTAGGAAGAGTTTGGGCGATTCCGATTGATCAGACGGAGAAATTATAGAATTTAGATCTAGGGCCTGACCGCGAGGCTGAGAGTGAGAGTGACGGGTCGGACACCCCGATTGAACTAAAGTGAGAACATTTCCAACAGTTTGCGCATACATAAAGTTATATTTTTCTGAAACTACATTCAGTTTTCTTTTTAACTTTTATTTTTTCAGGATTTTGGGAATTTGTTTAGTATTTTTAAAATGTGTTTTTTAAAGGCTAGTATTCAGGGGAGGTAGGTTCTTTCCCCTTGCTTAGGATCTAACAATGGACTTCCCGTCCAGGCCCTTAGGGTGTAATGTGTTAAAAGAAAAAATCTTTGTCGAAAAGGAGTCGGATAAAGGTATTTTGCGATAAAGATTAACAGTCCGACCAATACACTACAAATGCTAGTCCCCCAGATCTCAAAGGGAAATGCAAATGCAGACAAAGAAAAAACTAGCACTAAAGCTAACCCTGACAAATATCCCCCCCCCCCCCCCCCCCCCTGCTGTCTTGCATTTTCTATCCGAGTACAGCTGGCAGAACAGGACATCTTGAACGGAAAAAAATCTGTTACAAATTACCACCACACGCAAAAATACTTTTTCATCCAAACAGACCCCAAGCTCATAAACATCATTTTTGTGGCACACACCAGAAAAAAGCACTCTCTCAAACACACACATACACAGTAGCGCACTCACAAACACACCACAACCGCAGCCAATTGCTAAGAAAACCAACTTGACTGATAGATACAGAAAGGGCACACACACACCACTAGCAACTGCGAATATAATAATAGGTCAACAAGAAGTAGGAACTCTCCTCGAGTCTGTCATGCTACAACAAACTACTAAACCCCCCCACCCCCCTCCCCTACAAGCAGGACTTCCCACCAACAACAAACACACGAATGCTGTCAACAACAATAACACGCGTGCTGATACGAGTCTCCATAGCTGGACACCACTGCGCACATTGCATCTCTATACAAACATCTGCGTCGTCCAACGACAGAACCTGTGTGCTCGGCCACTTGCATCTAAACAACACTGTCTTCACCATCCTTGTCCTCGTCGTCATAAGCACACACGTCAGATCAGACTTTCCTGCCCCCACCCCTCTCTTATGACTGCAGGCATTGTGTCTCATTACCAGCCTCTTCATCATCCGAGTTTTCATCATCATCATCATCTGTGCTCGACAACTGGAATCCTTCTGTTCTCATCTGAAATCAATTTTTTTTTAAATTAAAAAAGGCAAGTGCAATGATGCATTGAAATTGAAGTGATGAGATTGTGTAGATTTTTGAAACTGCAAAAAAGTTGGGGAAAGTAATCTTCTTACCAACCGGTTTTGAAAAGGAAAAGAAAAGAAAAAATTTGAGGGAAAAATTAAATTGTCCTATTAACATGCAAATACGTATTCCATCCATGAAGCAGTCTTATGTTATTTAAGGTTACCGGCACAGCAACAAATCTTGAGGGAAGTTTGTGAGGATTCTAAAGTTTATTTCAATAGTTGAATGACGAGGCAGAGGAATCAGCTGACTACAGTATGTGAACGAGTCTATTATGTGTGTATGAATCAAAAAAATTCTAACGCAAAGGAGCGAAGATAGGAAATAAATTTGAGAATGGAAATAAGGAGACGCTGAGTTTACCAATCGAAATGGCTGAATTACTTAAAAAAAAAAAAGAACCTTACAGGTTTTCAACAAATCTGAGGGGATGGATCTGAGAAGTGAAAACAGGAGGACCAATCTAATTTTTTTCTAATAGGCATTTTAGTGAACGTGCTCGTGGCACGGCGAATTGGCCGTGCTACGCCCCGAAGACTCTTGTGATTGGCCGAGAAGCCTCGCATTAAGGTGGGTCTAAACAACTCAGTTTTGTTTCGTTTAGTGAATAGCACTATCATATCTGATACATCTTTTTAAAGGGAAAAGAAAGATTGTCAAACTGGCAGCCTTCGCATTAAAATCGATACGCTACAACTGGAAATAATTTGCTTCTGAAAACAAGGCACTTTTTACAACGCGATAAAATATAAACTACAGGCTGTATTATGAAACTTTCTGTAGATATAGATTATCCATTCCAGCAGCTTTTGACAGCTGGGTTGTTAAGGTTGAACTTATCACTATGCTATGAGGATCCCCGTAAAAACGCATACACAAATGGCGAACCGCCGAATCGGCCAGTCAAGAGGTCATGACACGGTGTAACATGCAAGCTGAATGTGTACGTTTCTTTGTGTGTCTTTACGAACATGCAAGTGTGTGCATGTGTGAATAGAATGACATATATGCAATGCGAAGATGTATGAGTGTGTGAGTGCGTGCCTGTGTGTGTGTGTGTGTGTGTGTGTGCATGTGTGAATAGAATGACATAAATGCAATGTGAACATGTAAGTTTCTGTGTGTGTGTGTGTATGCGCGCTAGAGAGAGAGAGATGTGCATGTGCAAGCGTAGGCCCACAAGAGAGAGCATGAAGCCACATAAAAAGCCTCACACTGCGTCTGGCCGAGTTCCGGAAGTGGTGCATGAGGAACCACAACATTTGTCCGCCAATCATCTCGGGCTCCGCCTCCCGGACCTCCTTCTTGCGCTCCACATGGTTCTTGTGCAGCGTCTGGTGGAGAAAAAGTGAGACAAGTCCAGGTCAGTGTCAGGATCAAACAGCAGATTGTGAGATCAGTAGCACAACTGCCACTGTAGAACGTAGGGGCGGGGCGGGGCAGACAAAGGTGGAATCGGCCACGGACGATAAGTTGGCATGATTTGTTTTATGACATCAAGGATTTGGCCGAGAACAAAAGCGAGAAGAAAAAATGGGAAACTGTCGAGTTAAGCAAGACATATCGCGGGCTGGGCTCTCGGGTTCGCTCCATCATTGAGACAGGGCTGTGGAGAGAGACGGGAGCCCGTTCTATGACAAAAACAAAAACAAAAAAAATCGTTATCCTCCCCTAAAATTCGAGTTTGGGAAAAAAAAAAAGAAAGATAAATTTATGGAAAATTTCCACCCCTATGGGTTGCAACTGAACCAGCCACCTACTAACCTTTTTCAACTTGTCCCTGTCAATGTCTAGAGGCTGCGGGGAGGGTTTCCACAGCTTGACCTCGTGGTCCAGTCCACTGGTCGCCAGGATGGGCAGGGTCGGGTGAGGCTCAAGAACGTTGATCTGATGAGAAAAGGCACAAGTAAAAAAAAATTCGATGTCATAACGGACGAATCAAATAAAAAGAATTTGTCGAATAAAGAAACGTGTTCAGAGCTGCCTCCCTCAAAGTCCCCATTTCAGGTAGATTCACGGTCAGTTTCAGGTACTTTAGCCAAAAACCAGACAGTGCAAAGGCAAAGAAGACCAAAAAAGATGAACGTAATGTCCCAGAACATGTGGAGTAATTTTGTTTTTCACAATATTATGTGATTGTATTATCAAAACATATGTGTGAACGCACTGCTACGTATGTGTATGAATGAGAGACAGTAAGAAAGAGTGGGGGTGTGTGGGAAAGAGGAAGGGGGGGACACACACACACACAGAAAGAGACAAAGAGAGAGAGAGTGAGAGAGAGAGAGACAGAGAGAGACAGAGAGAGAGAGAGAGAGAAACACAGACACAGAAAGAGACAGAGAGAGAGGGAGAGAAAAAAAAAGAAGAGAGACAGAGAGAGAGAGAGAGAGAGAGAGAGAGAGAGAGAGATTGAGAGAGAGAGAGAGAGAGATTGAGAGAGAGAGAGAGAGAGAGAGAGAGCGCGCGCCCTATGCCCTAAGCATCACTTACCACGCCCGCCTCGTCCCCCTCCTGGAAGTTGATGATGGCCTCCGTCTCCTTATCCCAGAAGTAAATGTTTCCGCAGTCGCTGCCGCTCACGATAAACTCCGATTTGGGACCGTAGAAGTTGACCCCCTTCACTGTATCGAGAGACAAGATTTACATTTTGTGTTGCAGAAGTTATTAGAAATACACTGTCAATCTTCTATTTTTTTAAAAATAGAGGACAAACAAAATTCATCTTTAGAGGATTAAAAACAAAACCAATATTTCAATGAAACTCCTCCACCACAGCAGATCTACGACTGTTTCAATAAAAATAAAGCATCTTTGATATATATATAATATATATATATATATATATACGCTGTCAGTGTCAGGATAAAAAAACACAACAGTACTTGATTTTGACTCAAAAGAGGAAGATGAAAGTCAAAATCAAGTAAGAAGATGATAATAGTAATGATGATGATTTTGAAAAACATGTTAAAAAGAAAGTGTACCGTTTTTATTGTACCGCAGTTTGTTCACCAGCTTTAACTTCAACAGGATGAAGAGCTGTGTCAGCAATTTATTCATGCTCTATCTATCATTCTCATTTGTTCATTAGTCTCATTCATGCTCTATCATGTATAGTCTATCTGGCCTAGTGAGAGGACATGTTCAGGGCCATATGGAACGACTACAATCATGGGGATAGGGTGAATAATTGTGAATGTTAGCTTTTTCAAATTCTGCCACCCACTCTTCTGCCCTTGCACCGGACCAAATAGTCGAAATTGTCCAAGACAGCCACCCATTGTCGAGGAGAAAAGTGGTCAAACTTAATATGTGGCCTTCTTACATGCTGTCATTAAAATATAAAAAAAACCCCCAAAAGACAAAAAATACACAATGGAATGGAAACGGGTCGTTTGCAAAGGGTAATTGTCTTATACAGGTGACCGGTACAGCAGGTTCAACTGTACTCTGGATTCAAAATAACTCGTGTTGTGTCTAGCAGGGGGTTTAAATTTACACAATATAACAATAAACATAACAATTGGCACCACGTCAATACATTTTTACGTAACCTACAAATATCTGCATCCATTCAGGACACGTCACCAAAAAAAAAAAAAAAACCAAAAAAACCCCCCCAAAACAACCACAATATAGCAACAAAAGCACATTTGTCACCTGTTGCATTGTTGCGGTGACCCATGTAGCGGTGGGTGTAATTGGCACCGTCCGACATCCTGTTGTCAAACAGGTAAATGTCTTCGTCATTGTAGGAGCCCAGGATTTCTACAAATGAAAGAGAAAAAGAAAGAGTTCTTGAGAAGACTGAAACAAAAAAACAACAAAAAACAACAGTTCAATAGTTGGAAAACCCCCCCCCCCCCTCCAACAAACCCCAGTAAAGTTCGCCAAGTGATAATAAGACATTTTTGTCTGGGGGAAAGGGAAGGTGAAGTATTTCATGGCTCTTGCAACTGTACACGGCCAAATGAGTGCGCATGACACATTTAACATGTTCAATTTGGTTGGAATTGAATTTTAATTTTGTGCGGGTGGCCGTCAAAGCCTACTCTTATCCATTTGGGACCATCGAGGCAATGGATCTCTTTTTTTTTTGTAGTAGAGGTTTTACGGCGCTCGCAACTGCATAAGGTCACATGAGCGCCAGAAGATTAGAGGTGTTACAAGAGAGTAACAAACATAAAGAAGAACGGGAGATAACAACGACAGATGTTTGATAGCAAAGAAGAAGCAAACCACACCAGAGCACCCGCCTACCATCCAAAACGGATCTTTAACTCACATGAGACAGGGCATTTTTCGGGTCTGGTCTACATGCGCTGAAGACTGGCATTTTTGGGGGCATTTTAACATTTCAAACAACACCCTTCCCAAAGACATACAATCACCATTTTTACACACATAACAGATCATCTGAACATCAATATATGACACAAAAAACAGAAAGGCAATATCTTTTACAGTTTTTAAGAAATGATTTTTTGAAACTGTTAAAATTTGTTGCTCGCCAAACTTTTTTGACGTAATGTGTGTAAAAAAACCATTAACCTTGAGTGCGTGTCTTTTATTGTATTTTGTGTTTCAAAATGAATAAAAAGTCCAAACTCATGAATAGGCAGGTAATCGATATGGCAATGTTTAAGTGTTACCTGTCTAATCCATTTCAGTGTGAAAAAAACCCAGGGCTCCATACAAAGAGCAATTTTGCATTTGAAACCTAGTGTAGGTCTAGAACACTCTTTATCGGAATCAGCGTTTTGAGGCTCATTTACATTGAAATCAGGATCCCCATGGTCTAAAATATCATAATCAGAATTTTCTGAACTTGTCAGAGTCGTCAAACAATTGAAAAATGTTTGCTTTTTCATGCTGCGGAGCGGGAGTTTGGCGGATGCTCCAGAGTGGTTTGCTCCTTCTATCCTATAAAGAACTCTCGTCCTGATCTCTCCTCCTTTTTTTGTGTTCGTTACTCTCTTGTAACACCTAATCTTCAACACATATATGATCTTTTTGTGTTGCAAGTGCCGTAAAACTCTTACTAAATCTAAACATGCTGTCATCATACAGTGTACTGACAGAGTGTTGCGGGAACAGACATGTCAGAGAAACGAAAGTAGGGCCTCAGTGTGACTAACTTTCCTTCCGGGTGGATAACTCAAAAAGTCTCCAGCCAATTCCAGAGAAACTTGGCACGAAACGAAACAAAGGTTGGCTGCCTGGTAAGAGACGGTTCACGCAGCGTTTGCGCGCATACTTTACTGAGGAGAAAATGCACACAGGGGGTGTGTGAACCACTTCTCGTGAATATATTGGGGCTTGCAAATGCTGCGTGAAAAGTCTCCAGTGAGTTAATGTGTGCAACTTCGAGATGAAAGAAAAAAAAAAAATAACCCAGTCAAGTTTGTCAAATTATAAGATATAAATATCACATATGAGAAAAGAGTTAAATGCCTTCCCCCTTTTTTTTACACATATGCTTGGTCAGCCTGTATCTTTGAATACAAACAGAATGAGAACAAAGCAGAAAACAAACTCCTTACATTAAAAAAAAAAAATCCCATAAAATACTATACGAGCTCACAGCTTACATACACTGTCTTGTATATGGGTAGTGCATCACACAATTGCAATCTATCATTATTTTATTACTGTTATACTAGCTCAAAGAAATGTGCATGTGCCAGGAGAAAAGTCTTAGTTGTTGCCAAAACTTTTTCACAAAGGGGGTGAAAAGGTAAAAAAAGCTGGTCAAAAATTTAGTTTTATCAGAAAACAGACATTCAACCATTTCGTAAAGACATATTGAAAGGATTTTATAATATTTTAAGTGTAAATGTTTTTTATTAGTTATTTTAGTAAAATGTTGTACTTCACCAAAGGTTAGACATACGCTAGAAATTGGGCGTTTCTCCAAACTTCGTTTTTACACCTTGGGTTGCAAACTATGGCACATCTTTGAAGCTACTCAATATATTTGAAAAATGTTGAAATTATCTTGTTCAGGATTGAATTTGCTACAAAAACACGCCCTCATTTCAATATCCAAAATTTCCGACAACTGGGACTTTTCCCCGGGCACACGCAAATAAGCTTGAAACTTACCAGATCCATTGTAGCTATAACAGGCACATGTCACGTTAGCTTTGAGATCACTGTTTTCCTGGAGAGGAGATGGATTTTAAAAAATTATATAACATCGCACATAGCAGAGGTTGGGAATGTTGTGAAAAGAAGGACGGCAAAAAGATTACTTTTTTTTCAACACTGTTCAGCACTAGGAAACTGTACAGAGCACAAAAGAAGATGAAATATTCATACGAAAACCCCCCCAAAAAAACGATCTGTGAAAGATTTCAAACGTAAAATCTGCTGCTTAACTCACTCGCTGCCAGCACCTTTGCTGCTGCCGGCCAGCTATTTTTGACCTTTTTCAAAATCCAGTTACTCTGTACCTATTTATGTCAGATTTATGAAAATTGGCCAGTTTCCGTAAGAGATGTTGAGCTTAACAGAACAGAAAGAATTTTGACTAATCTTGTTCATAGTTTTTCAAAAAACGTCAAATTCTGGGGACCTAAACTTTTTTTTGGGGCCAAACAAGCCAGGACAATATTTTTGCAGTTTTTGTGAGAAGGTAGAAGTATCAAGGCGAAGCTCATCAACGCCATTTTCCTTCCAACGCTCACATATCAGTGCCAGACATGGACTCTAACAAAAGCCCTAGAGAGGAAACTGGTCACATGCGAGATGAAATGCTTAAGAAGAGCGGTCAACAAAACAAGAAGAGACAAAATTAAATGAAGTCATAAGGGACACCGTGGGAGCAACACCAGTCCTACCACACATTGAAAAACAAAAGGTCAAGTGGTTCGGACACCTCACGCGGATGCCCTCAAACCATCCAGCTCTGAGAGCATACAACATTAAATATTCTGGATGGAGAGCCAGAGGAAGACCAAGGCGACGATAGAGTGAATCTGTGGCAGACACCCTTAAAGATCATGGGATGTCCCTCCTACAGGCCACACGACTTGCTGCAGACAGACACCTGTGTCTCCCCGCGACACCCCAGGGTACAAGCGGAAGAAAAAAGAAAGAAAGAAGAAGTAGAAGTATCTGTCCTAAAATATACACAAAAATATATGACAAAACAAGGAAAAATAAAACTGACAAGTTTATGATGTCTTTGGCTAGATGCTAGAATCAATAGTTGTCACTGCTGACAAGTGATCTACCTCTTTCTCTCATCTCAAACTACCATCACTACCATTGTTCTGCACTGAATCATCTGAATCAGAATTCATTGAATCATATAGATTCAGAATCTCTAAAATTACGAGCCATTTTCAATTCATATCCGAATGTGCATTTTGCCGACTTCGGCGGCCCAACGTTTAAAACAAGACCCAGAAATTAGGACAAAGGGAACTCCCGGTCCAAAAATAGGCAGAACTTCAAGGGAAATCATTCTAATAAGTGAAACTGCTCTGAGAGGTCAAAGGGATGTTACTCTAGTAATATGTCATGCCGCTGTCACATATATGTGTAGGCAATTAGTAAAAATAAAGAGGAAAATAAGCGACCGACAGGGGTGCGGTAGCGGTGGTGAGCGGTCGTCGCATATTGACCGACACAGGTATGGCAACGGCGGTGAGCGAGTTAACTCACTGAAAATGCACCAGTAGTATATGGCTGGCAGTTTCCACAACAGTCCGCACTACGACCATAAATGACACCAACTGTGTCTTCACTATTTCTAAACCAAAGCAAAATTAATGAAAGGAGTAAATTTATAATAACAAACTTTGGAGATTTCTAATAATAATAATAATAAATGACATTTATATAGCGCTCAACCCCGATTAAAGTACACAGGCTCTGAGCGCTTTACAATACAGTACAAAGTACAACAGTTACATAAAACATTGTGTTCTGACTAAAGAAAATTATTCCAAATATTCATCTTATTAATTTAAAGACAGAAACGACTTCAGCTGACATTTGAATGAATCAAAAGATTTGATCTCTCTTAAAGTACTTGGTAAAGCATTTCAGATCTTGGGACGTTGGTATTCAAATGCCCTTTCACCCATTGTTTTAAGTTTCATAGATGGTAAAATAAATTTCTTTTTGTCAGCTGATGACCTTAAACTGCGAGTTGGAATGTACAGTCATAACAGATTTAATAAATATGATGGTGCATTATCATTCAAACATTTGTGACATAGGGTGGCCATCTTGTACATAATCCTTTTCTACACCAATCTCACGTTTTGGAAAATGCAGAAGAGAAAATAAATAATTTATGAAATATTTTCTAATCCCATACATCAGACGTAATTTCAGTCCAAGTGTTACGTGGGCCCTCCGACCCTCAAACGAAAAGGAGAAGGAGAAGGAGAAGAAGAAGAAGAAGGAGAAGAAGAAGAAGAAGAAGAAGAAGAAGAAGAAGAAGAAGAAGAAGAAGAAGAAAAAGAAGAAGAAGAAAAAGAAGAAGAAGAAGAAGACGAAGAAGAAGAAGAAGGCACTTTAAATGAATTTATTAATTAGCTCAGCCCTTTCGGAGATGGACATTTAACTCGCGAGGTCCTGCCTGTTAAATAACCTAACAGTGTCGATAGGGGCGTTATAACAACCGTACACCTTTTCACCATTTTTCACAAACCAACAGCCACTTACCAAGTGATCCGGGCAGAACTTTTTGAGCACTCCACCATCAACATCCTATCATTGAAAGAAGCAAAACAAATTAAGAAACATCAACGCCACAAAATACATGATATACAAATAGAAGCACATTTTCACTTTAAATTTCGCTTGGAGACTTGTAAAGATGATGTCTTGCCAACAACATTACTGTTCAGAGCTAAGAAAATTTTTCTGTATTAGAAAGACACGAATGAAAAAGAATATTATATCTATTCTTCTTAAATTTTATATACCACACAGTTTAGAATGGATTCATGAATCAAAATGTATTTTAAAAAACCAACCAAACAAAACATTTAAAATTTCAAAAGACTAAACATACAATAAATGCCTCTTAAAGTATATCAACTTCATTTTACTTCCCTCATCCAGACAAGAAAGAAATCAAAACCAAAACACACATGCCCCTTCCCCTTTAAAGTTTCTATAGCCAAACCCCCCCCCCCCCAAAAAAAAACCCCCCTATAACTTACCTCTGCGATTTTTCTCTTATCGTACACCCTGTAGAGAAGAAAGATCCAAAACTTTAGAATAGAGCACATTCAACAAGGTTCAAAACATACGGCACTAAAACCTGTCAGCTTTACGACCCGTGTGCACTACAAAAATTTCCATTCATTGAGCAACTGCGAAGTATAGTTTACTTTCTTTCATTTTAGTCAACGTTTTACTGTACTCGCAACGCAATTATGTCTCTTTGTAATGAAGCGGGTTCAATTCCCTGTTCTAGCAGTTGGTGGACAACTGGGTCCCCTCCAAAAAAAAAACACACACAGAGACATCCTGCCCCCCCCCCCCCTCCCTACAACCAGTTTTCACATTGGTTACCAAAAAGGGAAAACAAGCACAAGGTATTCTCCTTCACACGAGGCAAAAGACCCACTGCCGATGATCAAAAAGTCAAAAGAAGGGTTGGTCTGTCTTGCCCTAGTCATCATTCACCTCTTTCACTTTGACATTTGGGTAAAGGCCGCCAAAAAGAATCCTCCACCTGACTCTGTTCTGGGCGATCTTCTCCATCACCAGCCAACTGTGTCCCACATGCCTGAGCCTGTCCAGGTGCTCAGGCAAAAAAATTGAACCCAAGCCCTTGCAGAAAGCAGAAGAAATACCAAGCACTAGGAGGAGGGGGGGAGGAGGAAAAGAAGAAGAACAACAACAACATCCACAAAAGAGAGGAGGACAAGGGTGAAGACCATCTGTCTATGTTGCGCAAAGGAAAGTCCTAGAGCTGCTCACCTGATGTAGTGATCCCTCCCGCCGACGCAAAACTCCCGCGAGTCGCTCGGGTTGGAGTGGATGGAGTAGAGCGGCACTTTCTTCTCCCCGACTTTGGTGGTCACCAGCCTGAAAAACGTGTAAAAAAAACCCCCCATGTTGCTTGTTAAAAGATTAACACATACTCTATTGTCCTTGATCGGAATCTATTGACAGAGCAGTCATCACTTTCTGTAACACAACATAAAGAACGTCCACACTTTCCAGTTTGAAAAGTTTTCCTACCGTTTTACCACAATCACCAGAAAAAGATTTGAGTTTGATTCCATAACACGGAAAATATTTAATTGTTTCATCTAGTATCTATCACGACTCAAGTCTGATTCCTTAGTAGTCAAACTGCACTGTTAATACTAAAAACAAATCATCACCTGTGGGGTCGCTCTTCCCTGAGATCAAAAAGAAAGGTGACAGCATCCTCGCCACAGCTCAGGAAGACGTTCGGAGAATCCATCTCTAGTGCCAGCTGTATCCCAGACAAAAGAAGGAAGGAACATTGTTTGAATGAAGAAAAGCACATCGACACATGGTCATTTCGTGCTGGGGAAAAAAAGTAAGACACAGACAGACAGACAGACAGAAACCATAGTGGGAAAGTAAAGTGCTAGAAGGGGGAAATGGATGAGCAGAGAGAAAATAGAAAGTAAAGTGACCACGAATATGACCCGTCCTGTTACATTAAAACGAGTTGGGTGGAGGGAGAGGGGGGAGAGGGAGATCATTTGTTAAAATTGCGTCTCTTAAGAAAAGTGGGAACCAAGGTTAACAGAGATGACAAGCGATGGGATCTTACGTGTTCAAATCATCGTATAATTCTGAAGCAACAACGGGTCATTAAAAAAACCCCAACCAAACCCCACTAGAGAGCTTTCAAGTACATGTATCGGCTCATTCACCTTGTGGGCAGCACCTCTGTGATTGGCCAGTTTCCGTGTAGTTTTGCAGACACCTGTGAGCGACAACTCCGCCAGTCGTACCTGTCCATCTCGAGCACAGCTGATCATATGGCAATCACCGCTAAAGGGCATGAACTTGGCCTGAAAAGCAACAGATGACAGTTAAGATGCTGAGGGTTTTTTTCTTTTCTTGAAGGTATCGGAGCTGGACACCCCCCC